CTGATCTCATTTATTCATTATTTTCTTTATTCATCCAGCTTTCAAATTTGTATCTTCAAATTCCTAAATGTAGCCTTGGGAAAGTTATTTAACCTCTCTTAGACTGTCTTTTGTCATCTTTAAAATGAAGCTAATGATACCTAACACATCGTGATGTGTTGTGAATTGTGAATTGAATTGTTGTGGGGAGAAAATGAGATACTGTACACAATGCCCTTAGCTCACTGCCAAGTCTGTAGTAAGTACTCATGTCATTCATTGCCAAAATGGCAGAATTGTCACTTGAACATGTAGTATTTGGGAGATGTTAAGTCATTGGCTGTATCTGAGTGTTGTGACCTAAGACGATGAAAAGCAGAGGAAGGAGTTTCAGTTTATTGGTTTTAGTGATTAATATGCAGAAATGGTTTAGAATTGTGAACATTTAAAAACATAGTATCAGAGAAGAAATCCTATGTTTTTGACAGATCTCTAACAGAAAAAAATATAAAACCCATCTTTACAAGAGACGGATAAATGGTGACAAAGAATAACTTTCCACATAAGAGAAACAGAAAAGCTACTGCTCTATTAAATTTTTCCATTTGTTCTATATTTTCCTACAAACACAACTTTAAATAACCACCCATTACCACCTTTGGTTGCCTCAGAATGTATTAAAGAGGTGGCAGATGTTTCTCATTTTATATATAGGCATATTCTTCAAAAGTTGATAATTTGTATCTTTCAATTCAGCGGGCTATTTTGTAGACATTATACCCCTTTTTCTCCCCCATGCCATGTAAGTTTAACAAAGTTTAACCAGTTTCTCTACTATAGGGTATCAAAACCTTTATCTTGCTGTGCATTGCTTATCTCCTAGAGACAATGTGTTACGAAATGTTTCCCAAACTGGTTGCACTATGGAACTTATTTTCACTTGTGCATCTCACAGGATTCCTGTCCTTCAGAACACATTTTGGGAAATACTTGTTTATAAGGACCTCTTCCTTAGCACCCAGTTTTAACACTGTACCCTTTTATTCCAACCTACACTTTGTGTTTCACCATTTGCCGAATTACATTATTGCAAAAAAAAAAAAAATTTTTAAAAGCAGTTTGTGTGTAACTGAGTTTTCAAAATTATGCAGAACCAGAGTGTCATAAACATGCATCACCTGAATACTGTGACTGAGGAGCAGGTATCCTGAGACTGCCACCTGACGCAGTTTTGCAAAGACTGCCACCGGTGTCTTTTCCTACCCTCTGCCTGCCTTCCTAAGGTTTTTTCCTTAGCATTTCACTTTCTCTTCTTTGCCTCCTTCTTCTAGGTTGTGTTGTATCCTATCATGTTCTCTAGTTTTTTCTGATCTTCTATTCCTTTTCCATCTCCACAGGCCACAAGCACCCATATAGATGTTTTTCTTCCTTACCTCAGTGATGGTCATTCAAAAGTTAATATTTTTTTTAGTGACAGTTATTCTGCATAACCCATTTAATTTCCACCGCAAATTTGTTTTAGAATGAGACAAACTGAACTCCCTTTACTTTTCTTGACCAGTTTTCTGTGCAAAGGAGAATTACAGTATCTGATTATTAATATCCCTAATAAGTCCTATTCAGAATATACTATGTTCATTGTGCTGAATCTCTTTCTTTATGATGCCAAAGAAGCTAGTTGCTAGCATCAGTATTCAATTTAAAGTAGCTAACCTGATTGTAAAAACCTGATTGTGGAGATGTTTTATTAGCCCAATGTATCTATGTTCTGTTTTTAAAAAGAATTCTCTGATATGCAGTGACCTCAGATTTTGAGCAACACTAGCAAAGAAGAAAGTTAAAATTGGCCATAAGCCATCTGCATGCTTGTTTCTAGTGTCTCAGGAATAATGGAAATTGTTCAACAGCCTAATGGTTGCCATCCCAAGGAAGTTGTATCCATTAAAAATACAATTGCTGATCTTGTGGGGGAAGTATCTCCACAGATGCAGCTGCTTAATTCTAATTGGCTTTTAAAACAATACAGGGTTCTTAGCTAAAAAAACACTTGTTCTACAGTAACATGTTACTGAATAAACCCATTTCTTCATTATAAAGATAAATAATAGTATGTGAGATAGAAACCTCATAATGAAAACAGTAACTGAACTATGTTAATACCCAAGAGGTAGAACCTTACTTCAATTTATAGCACTGTTTCTATGGAAAAATTTATTCCAAAGTCCAGCTGGGATGCCAGAGCCCTTCTTCCTGGGTCCTTATTACCAATGATGAGAAAACTACTGCATGCACCTGCAGGTATAGGACTTCATTTCCCCCGTTAGTTCTGGGGCTGGGAGCAGAGCTGTAGGAGTTGGACTCCAGACGGTATGAAGGAAAGAAGAGCGTTCTAACAGCTTCTGAGAGAGAGTGCTAGGGCCTTCTGCTAGGAACATGGTTCTTCAGATAACTCTCATGAATAACACGATGATTTTTAGGGAAGATGGGGCTGCTTTTCAGCACAGGACAAGACCAAACGGCAGCCATGTCCTCCTAAAAACGGTGGCATTTCGCCCTCCTAGAAATAAAATTTTGGACCAGGTGGTCTATTAATCTGACCTATTAAGACATTTCCTATCTTCCTTAAGGTTCAAGTTTGAAAAATATTATTAGTGGTGCTAAAACAAAAATGCTAACAGTGGACTCTTCTCTGTGATGGTAGAAATTTGCTGGTCAGGAGAATGAATACCTTGCAGGTTTATATTAACTATTTAAGCAGCATTATTTTTGCTCAGTGTTTGCTCACATTACTCCAGCATATTGAACAGATGTATGTGAGTTTTATGTTCATTTATCTTCACTTAGTGATTAAAAGTTCAAGGTGAAACTGATATTGCAGAAATGAAAATAATGTGTTCATGTACTAAAGCCTAAAAAAGAAAGAAAGAACTTAAAAATGAGCCTCGGTTTCTTTTAAATGATGAATTTCTTTGGGAGTGGGTGGAAGGAGGGCTTTTTAATGAGATCTGCAGCCTTTCTTGGGAAGTTTCCCAAAATTAAAGTCTTTCAATGAAAAATAAGGGACTGGATACTAGACTTTAATTCAGCTGAGGTTTTTTTTTTTAATTTAATAAAGCAGTATATTAATATTTGACCACATTTTACTATCTGAATTTTATCCCAAAGAAGAAGGATAGCCTAGCAGAATATGAAACAAATCTTGTTTTAACTCAGAATTCTTCATTTTTTTTTTTTTCTTAAATATTCTCTAAATGATCTGGGGGACAGCCACGTATAAAACTCTTATTTGAAATTCAGAGTGCACACCAGCCTGTTAAAGACTCTGAGGGCTCTAGCTGTAAAGAAACTTGTTTAACTTTATTTACTGGATTTCTTCAGTTTCTTTGGCTGTGAGACCCTTTTCCCCCCCAGAAGCTAACTTCTCACACAACCTCATAACTGAGGGACAAAGATATGGGAATCAGCTCAGGTACATAGGCAAGATAATCTGTGCTTGGTTTATACAGGGGTTTTGTAAAACCACCTTGGCACTAAATCATAGGCAGAGACCTCAAGCAGCATGCTAGGAAATTAACATTCAGTCACTCCTTTCCCTGGATTTCATGATGGCAGAGATGTAGTTTTATACTTCTCTGGAGAAAGTAATTTTTGCTCTCCTTCACCTCATATGTGTTCTAACTTTGCTACCCAGGTGACCAGTTGGTCTAGAAATGTCAAGACCTTTAAGAGACTGTACAAGGGACTGAGTAATAAATGCTGTTTTACAAGAAGTTTTTAGCATTTTTTAAATAAGCTTTTTACTAAGTCATTAATCCAGTGTCATTATAAACTTGTAAACAAATTCAAATGTTCTCTTTATTTAAATCAATGTTTACTGTATCTCATAAACTTTAACATTTTTTAAATAATAAAGAAATAGGAAGATCCCAAAACAGTAGACAACCAAAATAAATCATAAGTTGATTAAAGATAATAGCACAGAAAGTATTGAGATTTTAAAACCAGACAGGAAAAAAAAATGCATAATCGATTTTAGCAAACAAGTAATAATAATAATTCTAATCAATAAAAGAATGAAAGCATTTGATTTGACTATATGAAAATGTGAAATTTCTGCTTGATAAATAATGCAGTCGAACTAAACATCAAACACTGGAGAAATAGGAAATATTACAAAGGATTAATGTTTCTGTTGTGTGAATAACTCATATATTTAAGAAAATTATCAAACCCTAGTTAAATAAGTGAGAAAAGGACAAGAAGTTCGTATAAGAGAGAATATAATTCATAAACAAACATGGAGAAATTGTCAGCCATCAAGGAATTCCTTCAGCTAGTATTTTTTACACTCCTGGACCTTTTACTGTGTGTGGTGTTGCGGTTTCAATGGTGAGGAAGAGGGTGTCAGTCCTTTGGGGGGGGGCTCGGGGGAGGACACAAAGAATATACATTAAACAGACAAAGAATGCAAATAAGTTATTAAGCTACCTTTACAACTGTTTTTAAAAATTGTTAATACTTAAACACTGGTAAGGCATAGAAATTGGTTTAATTATTTATGATTCCTAGCATCTTAAAATGACATAAAAGGTTTTTTAATTTTGTTTTTTTTTAAACCTCAGAAATTATCTTAATGAAATAATTCCAAAAAATGGAAAAGAAAGGAAACAGCTTATGTATTGAACAATAGGGCTTGGTCAAGTAAATAAGATTTTTTTTAACCCAATGGAGCATGACTTAATGATTAAAATTATAATTATGAAAATAATGGTAATATGAAACAGTGTCATGATAGATGGCTGTAGTTGCATTTGTCGTGCTGAATTCAGTTCTATAAAGTAAGTAAACATATGGACATCAGCTGTAATAGGATTATGGTGTAAACATATGGACATTAACTGTAATAGAATTATGGTATATTATTATTTATTTTGTTATGTGCAATATTTATGTACTTATTAGAAAATAATTTTAAGATTCATTAAATATTTTAAGATGATTTTTTTTTTTTCCTTTTTCAGCTGACCACACAGACTGCCCTATCTGTGTTTCTGTAGCCAGAGACATGACCTGACACCCTGATGACCAGTCTTAGGGCATTTGGGTGACTGGCTGGTGCACCATGGAACTTAAAGTATGGGTGGATGGAGTTCAGAGGATTGTGTGTGGGGTCACTGAAGTCACAACTTGCCAGGAGGTTGTAATAGCCTTAGCTCAAGCCATAGGTAAGTCACTGACCTCCCTGGGTGTCCTTTAACTATTTTATGCTTCCTTTTGTTGTTGTTATTTGTATTGTTGTTTGTTTTCTTGTTTGCTTTCTGAATATAGATCTGTGATGGTTTTTGTTTGTTTTATTCTGAAATACATCTCACAAGCACAGTTGACTTATTACCATTTCTTCCTGCTTAGGTAAATGTGTCATGATGCTTGTTTCCTGGCTTCCTCCAGAGTTTACTAATCATGAGTACAGAGTCTGCACTGCTTTTTCCTCTCCTGTTGTTTATCCTATTGTTTAAATAGTTCTGAATATTTCTGGAAAAGAAAATGCAACAAAATGTTAAATAACATTGTTCTTCATTAGAAAGATAACGTGCACTTTTTTAATCTTATATACTGCAGCTGCAGTTCTCAAGAACATAGTTACTAGTGACATCTCCTGGTTCCATCTTATTCTCCTACCCTGTTTGAACTTTTAAGCTTATCTTTATCGTATATTATGCCTGAACTCCTTTTGGAACATGGAGAGGGCATAAACACCTACATCAGTAAATTGAGTAATGCGGTTAAAGTTTATATTTGTACCTTAAATCCATCATTTTAGCAAACACATATTGAGAGGAAACTTGTGTGTTAAACACCATACTCGGTAGTCAGTGCCCCTTTGTCTTTGAGCTCCGTATCAAAAGTTTATTTTATGTCTGCTAGTTTATGTTGGAAACATGTCAAGTTAGCTTGGGATTGAAATGAGTCACATTGTCACCATGGCACCCTAGCATTTGGTAGATGTGGTTGTACCACTTGCATTGTGGCAGATGCATTGATAGCTGATATAAAGATAGAGGCTTTCATTTAATACAAACATTTTCATCTTTTGACTTTTCCTTACATAGTACAGCACTCCCATGTGGTAAAACAATACTGAAAACCCTAGGCTTTCACATGTAATGAAGTGTTCTTGCATTTGGGACTAATATTTGGGGACCTCAGTTTAATTATTAAAGAGATGAAAATTAAAGTGCTTGTATTTTATTTCTTATTCTCTACCAACTTATTTCGTAAATGCCCCTTATATAAAGAGCTCCACATAATTTATTTGAATAAAAATATATAGCTTTGTTTGTTTTATTTTATTTGTTTAGTGAATACTAGGATTAGAAAATATCAAACCTAACTTTCTTTGTTATATTTGGGAATCAAGGCATGGGCAGTGTTAACAACAATGAATAATTTTTACAAAAGTCAAGATGGTTGAGTGGTACAGTAAGTTACATCTATCCATATGGTAACCACTATTTCTGTATAGAATTTTGAGAGAAAAATGCCCATATATACCAGGTGTCCATTTTGGACTAAAAAGTGTACCTGTTTGTGAACAATATAGAAAGTTTTAACTAAATCTACCCCTTCTCCCATTTTTTGCTTTCTCAATAATTCAGTCCAAGACTTATTTTGAAAACTTGACAGCTTGAATACAGATGCTTTATGATATTCTTCAAAACTTGGCTAAACAGCTCTTTTTCTGTATCATAAATTCTTCATTGAATTCAGAATTCATGTGAAAGACGACTCAACTGGCCAAAGCTATTGACCCTTGTGCGATAATATTATCTCAACATTGAATTCAATGTTTCATACTTGAACGTTTATCTAGTAATTTATTGGTATTCAGAATCTCAGAACTAAATAAAAATCTATAGAATTTTAACCTTATTTTTTCTATACGAAACAATAGCAGGTATATTATTTAGGGGAAGTTGCTGCTGTAACAAACAACCCCAGAATTTCCATGGCTTAACACAGTAAAAATTTAGCAATATTATTAGCACAGTATGGACTAACTGAGCAAAACCACAAATGTTTCTAAAAGGTTTATTGTAGACTGACTTCTTGGGCTTCGGTCCACATAGTTACCCATGGTGGGGGGGGACGCTATGTATAAATTCTTGATAAAGGTTATTGAGGCTTTCTGGATAGTTAAAATTATTTTTAGGACATCACAGCTATCTATCAAAATATGAAAATATGCACACAAATTGGCATTTTTCTAGTGTATATGACAGCTAATGTTTTTTTCTGTGTTAGTGATACTGTTCATTCAAATAGAATTAGAAGAGAAGTAAAAACAGAACTTAGTTTGATGAAAGATGTTGAATGTTTGTTGTTTTAAATTGTGGTGCAAATATACACAACAAAACATACACCAATTCAACAACTTCTACATATATATAATTCACTAACATTGATTTACGTTCTTCAAGTTGTGCAACCATTCTCACTATCATTTTCCAAATTATTCCTCCACCATTAACATAAGCTCACTACCCCCTAAGCAAACACTCCTTTTTACCCCCTCCCTTCTACCCTTGGTAACCACCGATCGTTTTTAGTTTTGATGTATTTGCTTATTTCATATAAGTGAGATCATACAAATCGTATTTGTCCTTTTGCAACTGACTAATTTTGCTCAGAATAATGTTTTCAAGGTATATCCATGCTGTGACATTCATCGGGACTTCATTTCTCTTTAGAGCTGAGTAATATTTCATAGTACGTATATACCACATTTTGCTTATCCATTCATCTGTTGATGGACATTTCGGTTGTTTCCACTTTTTGGCTGTTGTGAATAGTGCTGCATGAACACTGGTGTACATGTGACTTTTCATGTTGCTGTTTTCAGGTCTCTTGAGTATAAACCTAAGAGCAGAATAGCTTGGTCATTGGGTAGTTCTATGTTCAACTTTTTGAGGAGCTGGCAAACTGTTTTCCACAGTGGCTGTAACATTTTACATTTCCACCAGCAATGGATGAAGGTTCCTTTTTCTCCACAGCCTAGACAACACCTATTGGTTTCCTTTTTTTTTTTTTCATCATCACTATTCTAATGGGGGTAAGATGGTATCTCATTGTGCATCTCATATTTGCATCTCCCTCGTGGCTAATGACTTTGAGCATCTTTTCATGGGCTATTGACCATTTGAACATCCTCTTTGTTGAAATGTCTGTTCAGGTCCTTTGTCCATTCTTGATTAGATTCATTTTGGATATTAGATCCTGATTGGATATATGGCTCCCAGAAATTTTCTCCCAATCTGTAGATTGTCTTTTTACTTTTTTCATTAAGTTCTTTGATTAACAAAAGTACTTAATTTTTATGAGATCTCCTTTATGTGTTTTGTCTTTTGCTGCTCTTGCTTTTTTTTTTTTTTCCATATCCGATAGCCTATCACTAAAAACTAGGTCCCATAGCTTCACTCCTGCATTTTCTTCCAAGAATTTTATGGTTTTAGTTTTTACATGTAGGTCCTTGATCATTTTGAATTGGTTCTTATGTATGATATGAATTTTTTTTAACAGTATAGAAAGAAATTCTTTCCACACTAATCCCTCGACTACCTTTACAGATTGAGTTAGGTGGTGCAAATAGAGCACATTCTCAAATTATAATATAATAACTAAAAGTCAAAGCATGATTAATATACTTAATTGGCATGAAGTGGTTAAACTGCCCAGCAAGAATGCACTGTGTTTGGTCACTACACATCCTGAACCTTCCGAGAGATTCTAAATATTCTGCCTTGTTACTCCCATAAACTATCCCAAAAATTCCATCATTTCAGAGTTCAAACTACTTCTCAGATCTATAAGTAGAATGGAAAGCCCTTGACATCATCTGTCTCAGCTGTGGTGGAGAAAATACATTTATGATATTCCAGATTAACATAAATGTATTTCTGCCCTCAAGTAGCTTAGAGCTGAACACAGAAATAAAGTACAGCTAATAAAGATTAGAGAGGAAAAGAGGTGGTTGGTGGTGGTAGTGGTTGACGTCTAGTCAGTTCCTACTCATGGCAGCCCTACATGTGCAGAGTAGAACTCCACTCCACAGGGTTTTCAAGGCTGTGACTCTTTGGAACTAGACCATCAGGCCTGTCTTCTGAGGCAACTTTCATTGGATTCGAACCTCCAACCTTTTGGCTGGTAGTCAAGCGTTTAAAACGATTTGTGCCACCCAGATACTCCATCCATTTAAAGTACTAAAATTCAGAATTTCTCTGTTCTTGTTCCCATATCTCCTTCAACTGGAGCCAGAACAAGTGTTTAATAAAAACAAATTGATTGGGGCTGGGGCCCAAGCTGGAGCAGACTATTTCTAATAAGCCATGTTCGTGTGATATGCCCCAACAAAATTAGCTTTGAACCAAACACATTTCATACAGAACTCTAGTATTTGTTCATACATCTTTCTCTTCCCTGGAAGTCCTTCCAAAGTAGGAGCATTGCTTGTTTATGTTTTTTACATCATTGCTTTGCTTTAAGTAGGCACTCAATAAAACTTAGTTTCTAGAACCAACTGTCCAGTAGAAATGTCTGCAAGGATAAAAATGTTCTGTCTGTGCTATCCTATATGGTAGTCACTAGCCACGTGTGGCAATCGAGCACTTGTAATATAGCTAGTAAAGCTGAGAAATTGAGTTTTTAATTTTAATTAATTAAAATTTAAATGTATCTAGTGACTAATGAAGAAGCCCTGGGGGCACAGCGGTTAAGTGCTCGCCTGCTAACCGGACGGTCGGCAGTTCGAACCCACCAGCTGCTCTGCCGGAAAAAGATGGGCTTTCTGCTTCCATAAAGATTTACAACCTTGGAAACCCTATGGGGCAGTTCTTCTCTGTCCTGTAGGGTCACTATGATTTGGAATCATCTCAGTGGCAATAGGTTTGTTATTTCGATTGTTTTTGTTTTCCCTTGGCCTCGTGGGTTTGGAGGTGATTCTCTTGCTGTAGTCTAACTCTCATATAACTGACTAGGACACAAGATACCTAATAGTAGTTAGTAGGTGACAGAACCAAGGACACAAAGTGCTGTGATTTTTGAAGCAGTTTATACACATGGAACAGTTTTAACCTTGCAGATGTGTCATGTGGTTTTTCTTGGGAGAAATATAATAATTTTTAACTTGGAAATCATGCTTTTTTGATTCCAAGAAGGACAGTGCTACGGCTTTCTTTTTCATTCCCCTTGTTTGCTTGGGTATTTTGATAATAGTAACAACTAATATTTGCATGAGGTCCTGATGTCACAATGGTTAAGAGTTGCACTGCTAACCAGAAGGTTGGCAGTTTGAATCCACCAGCTGCTCCTTGGAAACCCTGTGGGGCAGTTCTGCTCTGACCTATAGGGTGACGGGTTTGGTTTTTTGTTTAATATTTGTATGGCACTTTTCAATTTTTAAAATCATTTTTATATTTTATGTTCTCATTTGACTCTCAGAACAACCTTGTGAGGTAAGAAAACACTCATCTCATAGACAGAGAAATGGAGGCTAAAGGAAATTTCATAATTTGCTCAAATCGTGTAATTAGATGGCAGAGCCAGGTTTGAACACTGGCCTTCTGGCTCCCTCATCCTTTCCACTATGCCCAGCTTCACACAGTTGGGAGGTGCTGAACATTACTTAAGAATTTTTTTTTATAAGTCAGATTATTGTTTTGACACATTGGAGGTGCTCACTATTTAAAGGAAATTTCTATTCAACCTTCTTGTTAGGTGAATAACAATGTCTTGAATTAATAATGGCTACCATGTATTGATTGCCTCTGTGTGCCAGGGAGTGTAGTAGATGTTCGTCATACCTAACCCTCAGAACCTGCAAGGTATTATGTTATTCCCATTTTAAAAGTGAAGTTATGTTACTTGTCTAGTAACTATTATACTTGGGATTAAAACCCAAGTCTGCATGCCTCCAAAGCACTGACTTTAGCCTATAGCCAAGATTCAGGTTTCTTTAAAGGAGAACATGCCGCTATATGTAAAGCAAAATCATTTTTTATGTGCTACTTCTAAATTGCATACATGGGTTTTCACATTTACACATTCAAATCTCTTTTTATTGACTCAGTCATTCAGATAATACTTTCATTGGTTCAGAAGCTCATGAAACTAAAAGGAGGCATTGAAGATAAGTCAATGGCTGTGTATTCCTGTTGTTATAATTGCTAGATGGCAGGGTCAGTTACTTTGTAATAATATTAACTACTAATGGATACTTTAACAAAATTAAAATAATCCATCTGACTCACCCACCTTAAATGAAAATATTTAGGAAGCTTGTTCAAGGTTATGATATTATATTATCTTCTAAAACTTTATCTTCCATAATTTGTAGTTCAGGTCAGCTTGTTTTTTGTTGTTTTTTCTTTTTTAATTGAAATGTTATTTTATTCTGTTGTTTATTAATAATGTCATTTCAAAATTTTTTTTCCAAGAATCCTTGAAACTATTACAATCAAAACTGAACACAGCCTGTCCTTTTCAAGGCCCTTCTTTCTATGTGAGATTATTTTGAAGGGTTGTTTACATTGAGGTGATTTTTTTTTTTTTTTTTTGCCACAAGTGAGCAGGAAGAGACCAGCTATGTGAGCTATGGGTTGACTAAACACTCATGGGGAGACAGAGAGGAGACCTGGGCAGCTGCCTGTTAGCTGAGTAGCAGGTTCTCCATTGGCTCATTATCTCCCTTTAGGAGGGGAAATGGAGCCTCAAACCCTGCCACGTCCTGATGTGCAAAGCAGAGATATTTTGCAAGCTAGAAGTTGATTCAAGTTTTGAAGTTCTACCTAGTTCCTAAGCCCAACCCCTCACAGCTTCAAATAGGAAATTCCAGCGTCCTTCTTTGTCCCAGCTTGAGATCTTGCCCCAAACAAGAAGGTCTAGATGGTCAGGCATTTGACAGACATATAAGATCCTCTGAGGTTTAAAGTACAAAGTTGAATTTCTGAGCAGTGTCTGAAGAGTATGTGCAATTCACATCCTGTAGTTTTATTCTGTTACCTATTTTGAGGGCTTCTGTATCTTCAAGTGAGGGTTTTTAAAAGAAGTGTATAGACTTGACTCGAACATTCTACCCTTTGATGTTAATCAAGAAAAATCACATTGATTAAGGGTAGGGTTGTACAGCCAATTATTGTAATTGGTGTCACTAAGTTGTACACCTATAAAAAGTTAAATTGGCAAAAGTTATGTGATAGATACATTTACAACAGTGAC